TTTTCACGGAACCAACTGCAATTAACAAACAACTTTTAAGCGGGATCTGAACAAAACAGAGATGAATCTGGCTCATACAAAACTAGAATCTATTCAAATAAAACAAGGCCCTCGAAACTTATGCCAAATCGACCCACAAGACTTACAATGGTCTAAGCAACCAAGGCGAAAACAACATGCTTATGATAATCGAGATCACCTATAGGAGGTGATTCCAAATTTTGAGACTGAATCACAACTTTCGTAATTCTTTAGTCAAGATACTAGCGAATAAGAAAATTCTAACAAAGAGGACATGAACTTGGGAGGGGAAAAACATAAAACGGAAACCAAACAATAACCATGGACTCTCAAACGAGCTTCATCGTTGATTTACAGCCAACAGGGAATCAAAAGCATGCCAGAATAAAATGTTAACATATAAGGGGCTCACATAGTTGAGAGCCAAACGAGCAAAATATGTTCGAAACAAAATGAGTATTACCTTCAGATGTGCAATAGAACCAGGACAGCTACAAGCTTGGAGAAGCAACGATTCTTCCACCAACAACTCCGGAGAAACTTCGAGGATTCCGGCAAATTTCAGTACCTAGAAAGAAATGATAAGAAGGATATACTTGACGTATATTTTTGTATGACCTTTGTGATTTGTCACTCCTTTATCTCTATCAACTTCTAACTATATATTAATGAAGAGTGATCGAAAATTCTCCACCAAAGAATCGCTCAAATCCCTTAGTAGACGATTTTGTTCACTGCAAAGAACCGACACCTTTTGACTCTAAACTTTCAACTCTTTTTTTTCTGAAAAAAAATACCCTTACCAATGAATGATCCTATGATATATAGAAGAAACTAGGGTTAGGAATCAAAATGGGCAAAAGGGACCCAAAAATCGGTTCAAGGCCCATCCCCAAATTCAAATTTGAATTCTTTCACCATTTCGGGCGAACACCTTTTCTCTGTGATTTTTGCCCATTCCGAAAGAGGAAAGGGCAAAACCGACGCTTGGGATCGACCTCCCATCCTCGCCGTGCCACGTGGAGCAATCTCACGGTACAATGACGAATTTCACAACTGTCTTTTGCTGCTCCTACTGCACACATTTTGGGTTTCTTGTCGTTGTTCGCAAGAAGAAGAACGTGTAGGGGTTATTTCTGGTAATGTTGCACGCTACTGCTGGTGTATGTGTTGTATTGTGGAAGGAAAAAAAAAGGTGGGCTGGGCTGTTGGGAATCTGGGAATGGGCTGCTGTATGTATGTATTATTTGGAGAATTGGGATTGAGAATAAAAGGAAAATTGGGCCGGTTGTAAAGAAAAATAAAGGCTCAAAATTTGTTTCCTCAACAAATCAAACGTTAAAAGGAGTTGCTAATTTGCAATTGCATACATGGCTATTAGATTACATTTATAGCCAAATGAATTTAGGAATGTAGCCAAATTGATCTCAATCGGTGATTTGGCTTAAAACTAAATAAAAGATGAGTTAGTAGAAATTAATTAATGAGCTTCTTAATTCTAACAATATAAAATAATCAACTTGATTATAAAGTAATTGTTTTTTTTTCAAAATAAAAAAAAATACGAACTAATATTCAAAATGGCAATTATGAGTCATACTAAATTAATAATGCATTTATAAAAAATGTAAAATCTTGAGGTGATTTTTGTTTATAAGATATATTAATTATATATATAAAATATACATATTCTCATTATTTGAAATATTTAAAATATTATGAAAATTAACTAAAATTCTTAAAAGTAACTTGAAAAAATATTTGAACCTCGTAAAGCTAATTGTTTCGAATTATTTGAAATTAAAGAAGCTTAAAACTAATTCCTATCGGGGAGGGTCAAAATTGGGTGTCAACAACTATCCCTCGTTTGACTTGGATTGATGTAAGAAATTCAAGGAAAATGAAATTGACTAATCCAATTTTGACCGACCACATCCTCATCTTTTGGAAAAGGGATTTGGTACGACCTTTAGAAATTATGACCGAACCCTGGAAATGGGTCTCCTACATATCTCAGGCTATATGAAAATTCAGACCACTTGTAGTTTGATACGCTTGATTTGACGCACGATTTGAAAAGAATTTAGAAGTCATCCCGATCTCAAATTATGAAGAGACCGAAATGCTCGGGAATAAGATTTGGGAGTGAATGTTGGGATACAGCCGAGTTTTCATCATTGGTCCCGCTTACATATCCCCCAACTTAGGGAATCAGGCTGCTTGTAGTTCAACTCTATCGGTTGAAAAGGAAATCTATTATGCAAGATAACCTTTGATTCTGGAGAAGTGACAAAGCAAGTCGGGTATGAAAAAGAGGCTTGCAACCTCTTAGCCATGAATGTGGCGCGCTTTACACCCATAATTAAGAACTTACACAGACATAATTCCTAAAGCTCTTGGCAAATTTGTCACTCGGATTGGAAAGCCGCTTTCGGTAGAGACCAAAAATTTCCGAAAGCGAAATTGAAACCAACAAACCTAAGAAAGACCCACATGCCTTTTGAAAGGGGTGTGGTTTGATTGTGGCGGAAGTCGCTTCTCTGCTCGCGTTCTAAGAGTTTGATACTCCTCTTTGGACTATGTCCCAATTCGCTGCTAAGAAAAAGTTCCACGTTATGCTGTATCCTTTTTGATGTCGTCCGCACCTGTGGTTTTTTTTTTTTTTGGAGATTCATCCTTTCGGATACTCTCGACAAAGACTGAGATAAAACTCATTAGCGTAAAAATGCAATTCAAATGGGAGATAATGTCTTTTACCGTGTTGACACTTGATTGTTCTCCTTGAACATTTGACGTCAACTCTATTGGGTTTGACGTGAAGCAAATAAAGCTTGTGTCTCATATTTGCAATATAATCTTCAATGTACTCTTCATTTGATGTCAAAGTGATAAAAATAGGCTGATGTAATATGTTGATAGTTCTTTTGATGTCGTTGTTGCAAAGAAAAATGATGCAGTCGATGTCGATTTTTCTTGTGATGGGTAAATCTTTCTCTTGTGATGCATAAATTCCTTTCCCGCGATGCATGAATATTTTTTTCGCGATGCATGAATTTTCTCTTGCAATGCATAAATCCATTTTATCGCGATGCATGAATCTTCTCTTGCAATGCATGCATCCCTTTTCTTGTGATGCATGAGTCTTCTCTTGCAATGCATGGATTCCTTTCCCGCGATGCATGAACCTTTTTCCTGCGATGCATGAGTCTTCTCTTGCGATGCATGAATCTCTTTTCTCGCGATGCATGAATCTTCTCTTGCAATGCATGACTTCTCCGCGATGCATGACTTCTTTCTCTTGCAATGCATGATTTGTTCTCTTGCAATGTATGTCTTCTTTCTCTTGCTATGCATGATCCTCTTTGATGATGCCTCCCTGATACCGAACGAAGATGATGCTTCACCCAACAACATAGGTGATCTTCTGGGTATCTCTTGGACGGCGGTATCGTCTCAATCGACAATATAAATAAAAATGACCCTCGGAGTAGTGGTATCATCTCTTTTGAAAATACGATATAAATGACTCTCCGGGTAGTGATATCGTCTCAATCGACATTATAAATAAAAATGACCCTCGGAGTAGTGGTATCATCTCATTTGACAATACGATATAAATGACTCTCCGGGTGGTGATATCATCTCAATCGACAATATAAATAAAAATGACCCTCGGAGTAGTGGTATCATCTCATTTGACAATACGATGTGAATGACCCTCCGGGTAGTGGTAGCATCATGTCTGATAATGTGATGTAGAAAAAATCTTCCAAGTATCTTTAGTTGCTGGAAAATAAAAATATTGCTCTCTTCGTGATTTTCGCTTGTTCCATCTCTGAACATAATTGCATATCCATTACAAATCTCGCTTTGCTAAGAATTTGAATGAAATAATACTACTCATATTTCCAATTCTTTGGGTAGAAAAAGCATAAAAAATTTTCTACATCCACAGAAAAATTGTCAATTTTGGGGAACTCCTTGTCCTTTTGACTTCTCCATATTCATTGAATGGAGGAATATGTTGATCCTAAGGCAAACATATAGATCTGCATCCGACGAAAAATTGTTAGTTTAAGAAATGAACTGATCTGTGTCGATCTCTTCGGTTGTCTGCCCCCTTGCCTCGCTATCTCCGGTTGATTTCTCCGATCTCCCGCTTCTTGATAGATAAGACAAAACATTTTCATGCGAAAATAATTGAAACATGAGGGAAAAGATTTTAAGGAAAATAGATTTTCAAAAGTAATGTTTGGAAAAGGTCACTGTCAAGTGTCATGTCACGTCAAGCCTAATGAACACTTTTAAAGTTGATGTCCCGAGGTCTATCTGATTATTTGCTAGGAAGCATTCAAAGTCGTTCCAAGCTGCCGATGAGCCTGTTGAAATTTTGAGGCCATCCTCAAAATTTCTGTCCCAGTTAACTGTCTTGGTTTATCTTTAACCGTTGGTGAGCAAATCACGGAATTTTTGAGATCTTCTCAAACATTCTGTTCCAGTTGCAAATATGAAAGTAACTTCAGTCTCAACTTTGTTGGAGAGATCTTCTTCTTGAGAATTTTTGAGTCCCTCTCAAAAAATTATGTCCCAGTTTCTATTGTAAAGAGAAATAAAAACCTTACGGGAGATATGACCGAATCCTTGTGGCGCCTACGTATCCCGTTGAAGCAGGAATCAGGTCAAACGTAGTTCCCCCTCAGGGATCAACAAAAATAAGAAAGATTACAAAGAAACCGATTGAGGCCGACATAGGCTGCCTACGTATCTCATTCTTGAGAATTCAGGTCGAACGTAGTTCAAATACAAAGAAATATAAAAAGGGATAAAGGGGTGACCGAGTCCGACATAGGCCGCCTACCTATCTCATTCTTGAGAATTCAGGTCAGACGTAGTTCATTACATAGGGATAGATTTTAAACAAAGCGATTACAAGCAAATAGAACGATTACAAAGAAATGAAAGAAAATATAAACTGAACTTCACACATAGTATCTCATGACAGCATTTGAGTTGATTGGTTTTGGCCATTCGGCACCATCCATCTCCGACAGGACCAAGGCACCTCCAGATAATACTTTGCAAACCATGTAGGGTCCTTGCCAATTTGGTGCAAATTTTCCTTTGTACTCATCCTGATGAGGGAAAATGCGTTTGAGAACCAACTGACCAATTTCAAATATTTTGGCTCTTACTCTTTTGTGGAAAGCACGAATCATTCTCTATCGATACAGTTGTCCATGACAAACAACAACCATTCTTTTCTCATCAATCAATGTTAACAGATCAATCCGCTTGCGAACCCATTCATCATCACCCAATTCAGCTTCTTGGATGATTCTCAATGAAGGTATTTCAACTTCTGCAGGTATAACTGCTTCTGTTTCATATACTAGGAAATATGGAGCAGCTCCAACTGATGTTCTGACAGTCGTTCGGTAACCCAACAAAGCATATGGCAGTATCTCATGCCAACCTCTGTGATTATCAATCATTTTCCTCAAAAATCTTCTTTATGTTCTTGTTGGCGGCTTCTACAGCTCCATTCATTTGGGGACGATAGGCAGTTGAGTTTCGGTGAGTAATCTTGAATTGTTCACATATCTCTCTCATCAAGTGACTGTTGAAATTCGCTCCATTATCAGTAATGATGGATTCTGGTATTCCAAACCTACATATCAAGTTGTTGCGAATAAAATCAGCTACAACTTTTTTGGTTACCGACTTATACGAAGTTGCTTCCACCCACTTGGTGAAGTAGTCAATGGCAACCAAAATGAATCTGTGTCCGTTAGAGGCGGCTGGCTCTATTGGACCAATGACATCCAAGCCCCAAGCTACAAATGGCCAAGGTGAACTCATAGCATTAAGTTCGTGAGGCGGCACTCGAATCAAATCACCATGCACTTGACATTTATGACATTTCTGCACGAACTTGCAACAATCATGCTCCATAGTCATCCAAAAATAACCGGCCCGAAGGATCTTCCTCGCCAAAGTGAGCCCATTCATATGAGTACCACAAACTTCGACATGTATCTGTTCCATAAGCTTTGCAGCTTCACTAGCATCAACGCATCTGAGAAGACCTAAATCTGGAGTCCTCCTATAAAGGATTTCCCACTTGCAAAGAAATTGAGGGTCATACGGCGTATCGATTTCTTCTGGTTGAACGTTGCATTCTCAGGATAAGTCCTGTCCTCTAAATATTC